TACAGCTTGAACCAGTGAAGGCTGTCACTGCTGCCACACAGTGATGAACACAGGCGCTGAATTAGGAGGAGTGTTTAAGAGATGTGACCTGAACCAGAAACACAAGTTACTTTTGAAATTTAAGTCTGTCACCATCTGTTAAATTGACTCAATTTTTTACCAAGCCGTAAAGTCAGATATTAGCTTTTGAGTTTATAACTAAAGTTTGTTCTCTTGTACATTTTGCACGTTTACCTCAGTTCTCTGCCTGATCTTCTATGATTGCCCATGTGGTGGATGTACTGGATCCCATATGGGAAGCACTTTGAGGCTGTTTGAGATTAAATGTGCTATATACTGTATATATATATATGTGAGGAATTAGTATTAATTTACCTGAAAATGTATTTTCTTGGTTGAAAAGGTTTTGAAATAAATGTTTAATGTTGAGAAACTGCATTTTGTGTTCTGAATTTTCATGATGAACATCCGAGCATGCATTTAAACAGGTTTCTTCAGCTTGTGTATTAAACGTTTACCAGCTCTCCACCTAATCCACTCTTCCTGAAAACAGTTGACCTATCTGTTTTCTTCAAAATGCTTTAAATTTGTTGTCCTATGTTATCAAATTAGATATCTGGTGCACATGGTGTATCTATAGTAATAAAACATGAGTTTGGATGATTTGCTTTGCATGCTCAGTCATATTTGTTTCAAACTTTTAGCAAAACTAATGCACTCCCTTACAAATTACTAGTATGAAAATTGAATGGCTTAGGCCGGAAATAATTTGACCAAAAAATTCCTTATGAACACACATCTGTAAGACAGTATACCTGGTTTCTTGGTTTCTTCATAGTTGGCCCAAAGCTTTGCAATACAAAGATCATAGCATATATCTAAACTCCTATTGGTCAAGGCAGGAGATATATCTAAACTCCTGCTCTGTGGTCAAGGCAGGAGAAGAAGATGATTGATCACATTTGGAAGAAGACTAGAGACATTCTTTGAGTGTAGTGTGAATACTTTATAAATAGGTATCAATGCACTGAATGGATTACCAGGACACACTGGAGGTCGAAGAGCAGGGAATTCTCAGGTGGGGGCCTGGTGCTGGGGTACAATCACATGACAAGAGCTGATGAACTGAACAGGCTCCTCTCTATTTCTGTCACTCTGAAGAGAGGACCATGATGTGAAGGTAGCTATGGTGATAGGCTGAGTGGAGTCACTTTGCACAGTTTGTTTTAATGTCTTTCTCTTGTCCTTACTGGCTGCCATGAGCCTCTATATGTATGACATTAGAGGCACAGCTCTTCTTTTCTCAAGCCAGAAAAGGAATGGGGGGAAACTACTACCCCATCTGAAACAGCTGTCCTTCAAGATGTGGACTGTGCATATGGAAAACATTTGCAATGAAAATAATGATCAACCATCTAGTCTGATAAGAAACGTCCGTCCCAGGAAAAAACAGGGACATCAAAAGATTGGTGAAAGAAGGGTCAATACAAATGATTTAGTAATTTAAAAGCCAAACTTGGCACACATTGATTTTGATATTGTACAGAGACACCAAAGATAAGTGGTACAGATACTGAGGGGATTCAAACTTTTAGATAGTAATAGGCCTCCCATTTAGGGAGTTGTTCCAATTTAGGAATTGAAAAACACATAAATACAGTATGAGTGACAATAACCTGTGAATGCATTACTGTAGCACTAACCATGTCATGGCACTGAGCTTTGGTATTGCTCTTGATTCACATAGTGAAACCCCTGGCCATACAAAAGCGCTTTCAGAGCTGGGAACTATGAAAGAAATTGAAAACAGACGTGAGTAGAGCTTCGACATAAACTACTCTGCAATGTCTGACTTTGCTTTTATCTATTTTCCGTGATACCGAGCCAACTTGCTTATTGCCTCACTACTTAAAGGAGAAAGGAACTGCACGTTAATGGTTAAAAGAGGGAAACCACACT